CCTCTCGCCTCAGTGAAGCGGACCCTCGTCGCTATTTGTCGCCGCACGCTATCCAAAACACTGGGTTCAGCTGAGTAGTGCATCCTTTCACAGCAAAAATAACACTAAATCAGTGAAGCACCTACTCCTGCAATGTAAATACATATACTCCATCCATTTCAATTTATGTGAACCTATTTGATTGGGCACGGAGTTTAAGAAAAAAGAGAAGACTTTTGAACTTGTAGTGTAGAATGAGGCACATATATTTTGTAGGGCTATAAATCATTGCATAAAGGTAAATTGTCTCCAAATATGGAAAGGGGTCCTTTTTGGCACGGACTAAAAAGGAAATAGGTTCATATAAAATTGAAAGGGAGGGGTAGTAGATATTGTTTATGTTGTTAAACTTATTTGGAATTATTAGATGATGCCTGGGATAGTGTTATAAATAGCGCTCGCCTCAGCGCTAATATCGTGAGGCAAGGCGATGCGAGCAACCTGCGCTATTTCGGCTCTGTTGCGTTGCGATTGTAAAAGGCAAGTGCCTCTGCCTTTGTAGCAAGAGGCGCTGTGAGGCGAGCTGTGGCGTCGCTTTTTGAAAAAAAAGAAAGAAAAAGGCACAAACATTAAAAGAAAAGACCAGCGACTTAAAACATTAGGGCTTGCAGTGATTTCACGTTTCTTTCTTCTTCAACCTTCAAACAACAGAGCAGCCAAGTCCACCCAACCCAGGTAAGCTTCTCTTCTTCTTCGATTTCCTTTCTTCTTCTTTCTTTCTTTCTTGCTTTTCTTTCTTCTTTCTATTTTTTTTGCTCTGTTTTTTGTCGAGCAACAGTGCAGAACAGAGAGTCTGTTGCTCTGTTTTGTTTTCGTTTTTCTTCTTCTTCTTCTGATCTTCTCTTCTTCTTTCTATTTTTTTTGCTCTATTTTTTGTCGAGCAACAGTGCAGCAAAAAACAGAACAGAGAGTCTGTTTATGCTCTTTTTTTGTTTTTGTTTTTCTTCTTCTTCTTCTTCGGATCTTCTCTTTTTTTTTTGTTGCTCTGTTTTTGATTGAGCAGCAGTACTGCACCCTGTTTTTGGGGGCAGTGAACTTCAAACTTGAAATTTCCTCCTTTTTCAGTTATAGAGTAGAATTAATTGCATATTGCGAATTGGTATATTTATTAATATATTATTGTTATTGAGTTTTTAGTTATATAGCTAATATTTTATTTTGTTGTATAAATTGTCGCTTCACATCAAAAAGGCGAGCGCTTCGTTGCGCGCCTCTCACTCAGTGAAGCGGGCCCTCGTCGCTATTTGTCGCCGCACGCTATCCAAAACATTGGCCTGGGAAGTTGGTGGATAGAGTAAGCAGCTGGTAGGGACAGAGGTGAAAAAGAGTCGGAGAAAGCTATGCAATGTCATTACTCTGTAGTTTTTGCACATTTTTGGAGTGAAATAACCATATATGTTTTGAGGATAGAACTTTATCCTTATCTTTGCGTAACTCAAATACTTGGAGAATATGTACCTTTGGTGTCTGGAGAGTATGTAGAAGATCCTGAAATTGCTGGTGAATTCGAGTCCCTGCACACTTGAGAGGGAGAATTTCACACTCACTGTTGTGCTGACCAAGTACCTTGTTGGTGACACTTACTGTTAATAAAGGACTTACATTACATTTTAAAAAAAGGAGGGTTTTCTGTCTAAATGGTGTTGTATTTCTGCTTGCTTAAGCAGTTCATTAGTTGAAATGAATATTAGCCACTGAAACCACCTACCTCTTCCTAACAACTGTATTTTGGTTTCATTAACTCACCTTCAATAATTCATAGGGACCTGCATCCCTTAGAGGGTGTTCTAGTTCACAAAACCTCTTTGGTTTAAGTTGATTTGTTCTTTTTGCAAATTTCTTTATCTTGTATCTTATCTCCTTGTTTTCTGTTCATCCTTTTCTGCGGTCTGTCTATAATTCCTTCCCGTAAGTGCTATGTTCACACTGCAGTTGTTGCAATTCCTGGTTACTATTTTCTCTTTCATTATTGAAAACGATATATAGTGCAAGTTATATGCATCTTTACAGTGGCTACCGGGAAGAGTGTAGGCTCACCTTTCACATTTTTTATGTCAACAGGTTGATTGATGAAGGAAAATTGATGGATGCTCTTGCCATTTCTGATCGTTTCTTGCAAATTGGAGCCTCAGATCGGTTGCTTCAGTTACTAGTTGAACGCGGAGAGGAAAATATATTGTCCGGACAGTCTCAAGGTTACTCTGGCAACCATAATTGGAGCCATAGCTGGCAGTACTGTCTGCGTTTGAAGGATAAACAACTGGCAGCTAGACTTGCACTCAAGTATGTCTATAAGTCTCTTTTTCTTCTGTTGAGTTCTTTATTATGTGTACAATGGAAGTGATTTGGATGTGGGTTCATGCATCACTCCTCACCCTTGCAAACACTGGAGCTACAATTGGTTGGTTTTGCATGTTCCTGCTGACTCCAGGGTACTCACCAAGCTATCACTTGCTGAACTTTTGAAACACACCAGTGAGAGATGGAGGGTAAAGTGGAGAAAAGGAAAATGATTTCCCTTTTTTGACTCTATATATCTAGATTCTAAACTACAACCTTCCCAACCCAAATGTAAACTGTAAGAATGGTTTCTTTGGCATCCCAGAATTGTGGCCAGCCCCTGTAATTCTTGTACTAAGTTAAAAGGGATTAGTCTACTTTTGGACCAATTTACATGAAGTCCAGGCACAACTTCAAAGACACTTAGGATCACCCTTAGGTACTTAATCCACCCACCTTAGGTTCACAAAAAATGAGGGTGTCATCAGCATACAAGAGATGTGAAATAGTCAAAGTATTTTCTTGCCCTCTGTTCACCTTGAATCCTTGATCCACCTTTTCATTTACTGCCAAATTATCATTCTTTTGAGACCTTCCTTAAACAAGAAGAATGAAAATGGAGTTGGATCTCCTTTTCTTAGATCCCTTTGAGTTGGAAAGAAACCCTATCCATTAGTTAGAATGGAGAATCTAACTGTGCTGATGCAAAACCATACCAATCGCTGCCATTTCTTTTCAAAACCTAATTCATTATGCACATTTTGCAAAAAACCCAAGGTTACATGACCATAAGCTTTTCCACTGTCAAGCTTACACGTGATCCCTGGTTTCTCTCCTTTGTGGAATCAAGGCATTCATTTGCTATTAACATAGCTTCCATTATTTGTGTTTTACAAAAGCCATGGTGTTCTGGAAATTAACTTAGGCATTATCTTCTTCAATCTTATTGTAACCGATTTGGCAATAATCTTGTTGAAAAGCTTCCAATAAACCTATGGCTGTGAAGTCCTTAAGTTCTCTGGCAGCCTTCTTTTTAGGAATTAGTGGAATGTTTGTAGCACTGGAGCTCTTTTCTGACTTTCATGTTGATGGATGTGTTCATTGGCCCTGATAATATCTTCTTCCAAAGTTGACCAACATTTTTGAAAGAACCACATTGTGTACCCATCCGACCCTCGTGCTTTGTCACTAGCACACTTTTTAACCACATCAAGGACCTCTTCTTCATCAAAAGGCCTTTGTAATCAGTTGTCTTTCTCACTGATCTTTGTGGCATCTCCCATGTTGAGTGATGGAGGTCCAATATTTAGTCTCAGTGTAGAGTTTTTCATTAATTCTAACATTTCTTTCTTCATCTCTTTTGATTCCTCCATTGTGCTATTTACTTCTATTTTCTCTATGTGGTTGTATCTCCTGTGGGCCTGGCCATCTTCTGAAAGAATTTAGTGTTCCTATCCCATTGTTTTTGCCATAAGAATCTTGAGTTTTCTCTCAAGGAGATTTCCTTTGGCTTTGCAGTTTCCTCCATCCCCATTTTAATGATTGGTTTTTCTACCAATTCATCCTCAGTCGATCCCCATTTTCCATTTTTTTATCAGTGTCTCGTATCTGCCTAACAGCTCAGATTTGCCTCTTATCTAATTTCTGACAGTTTCTCCAATCCATTTCTTCAATTTCGACTTTGGTAATTTTTGTTCCAAATGTAATGTGGACTACCCTTGACCATAAAAGAAGACCACCATGTTAAAATAACTTCAAAACCCTCTTTTTTCTAGCCGTCCGTTTTTGGATTTAAAATAGCTAATAGTTCTTTCCCATTCCATTGTAGAAGTAGGGGAGTATGATCCGAGGAAAGTTTGGGCAGTGTAATTATTTTATAAATCTGAATTCCTCATCCCATTCTACTAAGAACATGATCCTATCAATTCTAGATGCAACTGTGGAGTTATCCCTTAGAGTTATGTAAAAAAACTACCAGAGAGTGGTGGACTAATTAGCCCAAGTTCCTTAATTTGTTCCAAAAAAGACCACATATCTCTGGTTCTTCTAGTTCTAGTATTATTTTTATTCTCTCCCACATATGTTGTAAGTTTGAAATCCCCACTAGTAACCCATGGGCCGTGGCTTAAACCTCTGGCTGTAGCCATTTCCAGCCATATATCTTCTCTTCCCTTCCCTCTGTTAGGACCGTAAATCCCTATACGTCAGTTGAAATTCTCGAATAGGCTTTCAGAAAGCATAGTGGAGCTGTAAAACCCTATAACAACTAGCATACCTTTGCACTATCTTTTATCCCATAGAACTAAGATGATTCCCTTGCTTCCTTTACCTCTAAGTGTGCATAACCATCCCATCTTACCATAGAAGTGGAGATTAATTCAGCTTCACGATTCCTCAAAATTTAACAACCTCCCTTAAATTTTTCACTAATTTCCCCATAATTGACATTGAACTCTTGGTCTTTGAGTTCATTTTTCACACCTTTTAGCTTACTCAATTAACCATGGTGCTTTTTGGAGACCTTTAAGTCTCTTGGTGTCAATTTTGGTGAATAACTGTATTGCCTCCCTTTCAAATCTTTCAAAATTCAACCCCATCTGCTTGCTCCCAAGTCCAATTCGTGATTTCTGCTCCACAGCTTGTTGGGTTGAAGGTTCGGCCGTTGCTGGTTCTGTTAATAGAGGCCCAAAAGGATTGAGCTTATTAATAATGGAAAGCTTTTCTTGTTGAGGGCCTCGGGCCCTTTTATTTCGGAATGGAGCACGTGTCTTGCATCTAGTATTGGGATTGAATTCAAAATTCGAATTCCACACTTGCCCATTCACATGATTTCTAGTACCCAATGGTATGTCTATTGAACTGTGGTGGTCTCGAAACAAGGTTCATCATCTTCATTATATCGGAGGACAACATTAGATTGATAAGCTCCCATTTTCCAACAAACTCTTATGGTGCTCTCTACCCAATGGTGATATAAACTCTAGTTCCCTCGAATCCACCATGACTGATCTCGTAATACGATCTGATAGTCCCCTAACCCAGCAGAGGTGGTTTTCCTAGGTTTCTCCTCTGTTTCCTAGCACCCGCCACACTATTCCCTTACTTTGAAAACCCTATCAGATTGTAGATGTAGTGGCATGTCCAGTAACCTGACCCATATCCATTTTGGCTCAAAGTGCTCTGAGATGCAACCTACTTCTGGTGATCACGAATGTAAATTTAGACCCTTATATTTCCCACTCCAACTCCCATTAAAGATCCTTTTTGCCTCCTTTGATGGTAGTTCAAAAATAAACTTTACGCCATTCGTTTCAAAGACCCTGCAACTATTGTGAATCTGAGTTCATTGCATGTTGACATCTCCTGTGTTGCCCTTCAGATCTTCCATCACACAATTTTGTAGAGGCTCCATTGTCTGATTTATACAGCTTTAGTCTCCAATAGTCTTTTGGCTGTGGGTTTCAGTTTCACACTTATTTCTTCTTCGACCATCTTCTTGTTTTCATTGCTTCATCAAAGCTCCCTTGTTACTTCCCTTTGAGGAGTTGGGCCTTTCCTGTGAACCTTTAAATTTTGTGTGCAACATCCACCCGTCCTGTATTCTCCAGTCACCTTGCCTTGCACAGATATCCATAAACCTACCATGAATTTTGAAGTTTTGAACCACTGAGTCTTCATATAGTTGATCCATCTGAGTCCATCTTTTAACCTCATTGCCATGACAGTCCAACATGCAATCATCATACGACAGGTCCATAGTAGCATCTTTGTGTTGATTGTCAGTTTTCTGATGAAGTTCTTTCTCCTCTTCATCCATTCGTACTAGATGCCCTAGCTGATGCAATTTCAGTAATATCGAAAGATTTCGACTCCACGATGAAGAGTAACTTCCTTGACATATTGGACGGAATGAGTTTTAAGCCAATAATTCTAATCAATGATTGATAAAACACAAACCTGAAATCAAGGATTAACAGAACTTTCTGGAAAAAGTAACCTAACTCGAAATCTAGGAGAAAAGTTGGACTTTCTATCTCCAAGTCTGCCAACTTTACCCGGATATTTGTCTCTTTTCTTTGCCTCTCTAAAGTGAGATACCCTTGCTATGTAAAATTACTGTAGTGTAGTCAATATTCTTCTTTTATTTTTTTTGTTTGGGGGGGTGGGGGTTAAATTCACCTTGTATTTGTGGTGAGGTTCGGCATAGACCTTTACCAGTATTTTAAAAGTGAATTGGGGGGGG